GAAGCGAGCGCCGGCGGCATGGTAACTGGCCGAAGGACCCCTCCCCGCGGCCAAGACACTGCCCATCGGCGGCCCCCTCGCCCTCAAGACGTGCCCAGGGTGCGTGCCATCGTCTGCCATGCCCTAGATGGGCCTCTGGTCCTACCCGCCCCAAAGGTGACCGGGGCCACGCACGAGCAGAACCCGGGAAGGAGGCGCCTCGTGCCGGGGTGCGGCCGGTAGCGCAGCGCGTAAAGCCTGGGCAGCGCGGCCACGAGAAGCCCGCCCACCAACTCCGGATTAGTCGTGGTCAAAAGACTCGTCTCCATCCAACACCAATAAAACCCACGGTCGTGCAGTCGATCGCGACTCATAGCGACCCTATAGGACGGGGTAGAACTATTCCTTAGTTTCCGAAACGATCAATCCTTTTTTGAGGAACAAGCCACCTTTTCTCCCATCGAGCCGCTGGCGGGTTTGAACCGCCGTCCTCATGGTTAGCGGCCAAATGCTTAACCCGCTGCGTCACAGCGCTAAAGGCATCGTGTGCCAGGTCTCTGGTGAACCTCCGACCCTAGCACGTACCTACCATCATTATCTTAAATGAACACAAGCGGCTAAAATAGCTGGAGCGTGTTTCTTAAGGTGTGGTCTCTGGTCCAGGAGCCTGGCATCACCTGAGAAGTGTTAAGAACTGGAGATGCTAACCCTCTGAATCTAACCGGAGGTTGGGCCCCACCCTCGCTAAATAATCCGGAATGACACGGGTGGGGCCCAGCGACCTGTGTTTTTCAAAGCCCTCCAGGCGAAATCAGCCGAGGGAAGCACCGAGCTAGTAACAGGAGGGCTGGGATTAGAATTAAAGTAAATTCATTCTTAACAACCTCCCCACCCTGAGTCATGCCAGGAAAGCCCCTGCCTGCTCAAGTGACCTTCCCAGTTCTCAAATTCTAAGATTTCATCTTTGCGCCCTTATCTCAATGACGGAAGCCAGCGTATTTGGAAACATCCTGCTTACCACTGGAATTCATTTTGTGGTAGGCACACGGTGGGAAGGAGCAATGTGAGTGAGAGAAGTTTTGTTGGGGACCAGAGATGGAGAATGGGGAGACCAGGCCAGCAGAGCATGGAGGATACATCCTCAAAGAAGAAGGCAGGCAGTTCTCTAGGCCTGGCCACCCTTCATTCTAGCTAGTGAAAAACC